GAGAAGATCATGAAAATCGGAAGAGGTTATCACAACTTGGGGGACTTTTTCCTTCTTGGCAACAAGCTAGGAAAGTTTATTGGAATTTTTCCTGAATGATGCATCATTCTCATGAGCCGTGAGTATATCAAATTGATGGCTCAAGTTTATTTTCATCAGAAGGGGGATCTTTTCTTCTCCAAATCGACTTCCAAGCAGATTGCTATATAGCAATCTGCTTGGAAGTCGATTTGAAGAAGAAAAGATCCCCCTTCTGATGAAAATAAACTTGAGCCAGCACTTCTTAGTGCCAAATATTATCTGCAAATGTTCTACCCAGTTCGATTCTTATTCCTCTTCGTTCTTTGTTTGGACCCTACCCGAGGAAATCTTGCTTAGATATAGATTTGGAAAATTCCTCTTCGATCCTTGTTTAAATTTGTTGCAGCTATAGGGAGCAGTAAGACATCTTTCAGCATAAAGCAAATAGATCCGCATGGCTAGAGAGTGAATGGAGGAAACTGTTGATCTTGTGCTCTCAGCAGCAATCGCAATTGAATTATGAAAAAGAAAAACATAATCTTTTCGTTTTGTTGATTTCAGTCATTGCCGGCTTTTCATATGAACAAAATAGTATATATTTTTTTAAGTATGGCTGCTATTGTAGAAAGCATATTATTTTTTTCCCTGGCCACTTGGGTTTTTTTTTTGTATCGTTATTTAAGTTTTCAGCCTAAAGGCTGGTTCGCCTTAGGAAACACTTATCCTTGTTGAATTGTGCATCCATTAAAATTACATACCCTCGAAAATCACGCAGAACTTGTATAGCAACCGAAAACGACGACAGCTCACTAAATGGGCTAACGATGTTCACCTACACACCAATTTCCTCAATTGGTGTTGCCTTGAGATTCTGTCTTCTGAATGGTACCCTATCATTATTTGTGCGCGTGTAGTACACACGCAAGATGTTCTGTCGTCCACCAGTCATCACGCTACTAGGGTAGGAGTGTATAAAACGCCCCACCGGCGCAAAAGGCCCCCTTTGCATTTTTTTTTGAATAAAGAATTTATATTAGTGCAAAGCTTATGGGAAATCCAAGTATTCTAATGGACCACTCTACTAAAAATCGTAAATATTTCCTTATTTTTTTAACTGCCACTGAAGAAAAAGTGACTACAACCTATTTGAAGACGGTAAAATATAGCCGTTTTTCATAAAAGGGGCGTATTATACCTAGTTACCCTACATGTGTCCCAGTGGGAAACTTTCCTGAATCTTGTGCTAAAGCGATGAAATGGGTGAAGGGAATAATAAGATAACGATTTGAACGTGTTTGACTGAATTATAATATTGAAAATAGTGCCATCAGCGTCGATCAGATCTATACAAACAATGAACACTTTAAAAATTAAACATTCCAATTTTGGTCTTTATGTAAAATGATAGATAAAATCCATTAGCTAATCGTAGGAAATAGTCCATCTCTTTTCTTAGATTCTACTGGTAAAACAAAGCAGAAGAACAAAGCGTTGACTCATTGCTTTGGACTCTTGTTGGTTCTTTTTTTTATTCCTGTCAGCAAAACGGTTGGTGGCCTACGGTTTTTTATTGATTGCATTATAGAGTCCTGATGTAATGCTTTATCCAATTTGTTATTAGATTTTCTTTTTCTAGGGCCTTTTAGCGCAAGGTGGATGGGAGAAGAACACTGATGGAGCTGCTGCACTCCACTTCTGCGTTGCTGATTGACTGCTAACAAGGGTCAGGTAATTGTGTTGAGGCCGGTCGGTGGAACTGAACGCTCGTGCTAACAGTAAATTTGGACTAGAGTGGTATCCGATGAAGGGAGAGTTACTTTGGATAATCAATTGCATTTTTGGATGGACTAATGGATTGATTTTGATGAATTCCTTTTTGGCTCTCTTCTTTTGATGTGATCTCTATTTGGGGACTATGGTGAATCTATGAGGTGTCTCTCCACATCTGTAGAATGAGAGCTAGAGGTCATCGTTACCATGAATTTCATCGCTGTCTCTATAGGTTGCAGTTCGCGTATTTGAATATTAAAACATTTTTGAGTACTGGTACGACTGTTATAAATGTTGACCTGAAAGGTTCGCTAATGCGCATAATTTGGTTTGAAGAAATTATAGAAACGTTTCCGAACAATTCCATATTGGAATTCAAAGCATCGATTTCCGGCCACACAATACCCTTGTATGCGAACAAACTATTAACCCGTAAAGAACCAGGATGAAATTTATTTTTTTTTTTTCAAAATGTCATAACCGATTTTCATAAACTTAGATTTTTATTGAAGGGGAATAGTGGATCTAACTTTTGACGTAGGTTAATGAAATATGGAAAATACGAATGAATCTAGATGTTTCTACGATGTCACGTTATTATCGATTCCGGGAGTTATAGAATCCGGATCTATAAAACATAGTAATATTTCTGGAAATCGTATCATGCATCATTTAAAATCATGCCAAATAGGTAGAATCAAACAAATGAAGATCATTTGAGGTGTATCCGGTGACATATGGCCAGTTAACATCGTTTCCAGGGTTCTGGAATTCGATTCCGTGAGTTCAAATATAGGGGTTGTTATAACATTATTAAGTTCAAAGTAGCCATATCATGGAGCATGTCAAATCATTTCAAACTGACAATAAGGTCTCTGATATATCCGATGACATCTGGCCACATTGAAATCGGTTCTGGGGGTCCCAGAATCCAGTGATGTAGGCCATGGTAATATTCTAGGCAAATGAATGGCTCCAGAATCCGATTTCGTGAATCCCGGGATGCGGTACGGTAGACTCTAATTATATTGGAGAAAACAAGATCATGTGGCACTTCAAATCCTAATAAAATGCAAATATTACGTCAACGAAAACAGATTGAAATGCATTCGATGACATATGACCACATTGGCATCGGTTCCAGAGGTACCAGAATCTGGTTCTATAGGCCATCGTAATATGCGGGCCAAAATAGTTATGCTGCATGTCAAATCATGTCAAACTGACAAGGTAAGATCATTGAAATCAGTTTATCGTGTATCCGATGACAAATAGCCATCTTGGGGTCCCGGAATCTGTTCCTTTAGGCCATAGTACAATTTGAAGTAAAATAATAATGCAGCTAGTCAAATCATGCAAACACGAATGCGATATGGAAATTACAGACTATTCGAGGTAATTATTTTGATATATCCTTTTGACAACAATTACTGGGTCTCGGAATCTGGTTATATAGGCAATATTGCAGTTTGCATTGAAAGTTGGATTTTCAGCACACTTCTCAAATCACAGTTTATCCTTGTGCTATATTGTTGCCAGAAAAGATTTGATATCGTATTGATAAATAATTTAACAAATTCTTGAATACTTGCTTGAATATAAGTGCTAAGCATTCACTATTTGCACGCTACAATTATCTCATGTACTTTGTGATCTTTTGTTATTGTTTTTTGCGTCATTGTTATTGTTTTTTGCGTCATAACAAAGAAAAAAAAAACTTTTTTGGATTTACAATTTACAATTTTTTTATGCACAATACATCCTGGCAACACTGCCAGAAGCGATCCTTCAGATTGTCAACAGAAACAAAACAGAGTTGAAATTTGATTGTTGTTGTTTTCTTCAAGTTTCCTGCTGCCTCGGAATTGTGCGCTTGAAAATTGTTGTCGAAATAAATATTGTAGTAGCAACGATTACCAGGTAAAATTAAGTTTTTATTATCTTTTGATCATTGACTGATTCAACTTTTGATAATGTTTGCTTGCAGCAACATGGACGATGACGAGGCTAACGCTGAGGATCAGGAGAATCGGTACACTACGAATCAAGTGGATTACGACGTCAGCTTTGATGATAATTCTGACCAATACTCCATTGAAGCTCTCGACGATGATTGTGACCCTCTGATTCTTCCTTTGGGTCATGATGACGCTGCAGGAAACTCATACACGAATGGAGGAAAACCTGACGAGCTTGCGAAAAGTACGGGCAAAAGCGAAATTAATTTATCGCTGTGTGGATCATTCTTCAAGCGTAGGTTTGTTGGAGAAACATCAGGTAGCTTGATAGCTTCAAAAATACTGTACGGTGATACAGTAGAGGAGATTCTGCAAAGTGTGTGGACAATTGTGAAGCCGGTCATTTGTCGTGAAGTTATTTTCATCGAGGATAATGGAAGTCAGGTTCCTACCTGGGCTGATAGTGAACCATCGTATGAGGATTTGCAGAAATTCGTTTATATGCAGAATAAGAATCGGAGACGAATAAACATTGACCAAATTGACAGCAAACTGCTGATTAGCTGGAACACGAAGGACATACGAGTGCATGTACACATCTACTCAACGGCTGTATCGTGCAAGCAACTGTGGGATTTGGTCAACAACCAATTGGTGCAGTTTCAGGATACTGATCGAGCGGGTGCTCCCAACAACCAGTCTCTCTCCGTGTTGGCTAATGAGCTTCGAGAGTTGCATGGAAGACAGTTTACCGGTCACGCTAGCGCGTGGAAGCTGTGGGCAAATTACATCCACACGGCTCCAGCACACGAACGGGAACGAAGAATGGCAGAGTTACCTCCGTACTCCATAATTAAGTTCTTCAGGTCTGTACCTATTTCCGAAGCTGTGCAGCTGGAAAGTACTCGAAATGGGCTATCTGTTGCCAGCACCATCAATGACGCATTTTCAACGGAGCTAACAGTATTGGAAGAAGAGGCCGACCAATTGATTGCACTGGGACAGAGGGTAAAGCACCGCATTAGTGCACTGCGGGCTCGATCATCGATCAATTCGAGTCTAGTTTCAGCAATGCAGGACTCTATTAGACCAGAGGAAAATGAAGTAAGCCGTTCCCTTGCAGAAAACGTTTCGGATATGTATGATATTGATCATTCATTGATTGAATCATCATTTTCAAATACATACGTGATTTTTGTACCTGAACAGTTTTATTCAAATAAAGCCTTTTTACTCACACTTTTGTTAACTTCACTCTCCTTTAGCATAATTTGGCTGCCCAGCATTTTGCGACAACCCAACTGAAGGGTTAAAAACTCCACCCGGTGAATATCCACAGTGATGATAAATTTTGGTACAATCATAGTTTTCCAACCCCATAAATGTTTCCAGAGCCAAATGGGACAGGTTTTCGTTTCGATTTTCTACGTATACTTTCCTAATTCGTGATTTCATCATGCCGAATATCATTTCCACCGGATTGCAAAAGGGACAGTAAGGAGGTAGGAACACTGGAATGATGCCTATGGATCGAAGATACAGAATGATGTTGGCATCGCAATGGATGCGAGCGCCATCCATTATCCATACAGAGTTCTTTCCTGGGTATTGAAGTACTTTGTTGTTCTTAAGGGCAAATTCACGACAACATTCAAAAAATATCTTCCGGGTTAATGTTCCCTCTGTTTCAAAGCAGTCCAACACACCATGCAAACCCAGAAAACATAAGAACGATGCCCTGGGATGACGCACAAATTCACCCCGGAAAACGAGTCGTTTCCCCTTGATCCCGTAGCCACGATTCCTCAAGATGCTTCTGTTATCCAACGACACTTCGTCTAGAAATACTAGTTGATACGTATCCCAATCAAAAGAACTTAGTTCTGAGCAGTAACGGAGAATTTCATGCTCTTTGATTTGGATGGCCTTTCGTTCCAAAGCCTTCCACGTCAATCCTTCAGCATGCAAAATTCTGCAGATAGATGATCCACTAATCTTGATCTGGAATCGTTGGTAGAAAAGATCTCGACATTCCTCAAGGTAGAGAATCGGGTTCTGATGGTAGAGGTCCAAAATCCATTGCCTTTGTCGTGTACTGAATTTCCGGAATACGTGCTCCCGCTGCTTAGAGGAAAGTAGTCCATTCTCCTCGTAGGATGTTATCCAGCCGCTGATTGTTGTTTTGCTCTTACGGTACACAATTGCAAGCCTGGCTCTTGTTAGCCCGAAGAAATAGTAGCCATAAAGGCAATGATACTTAGTATTCGTGCTAGCTCTTTTATTTTCAACATTCTGTAGGATTACGTTGGCCATGTTCCTATTGTAAATAATCAATTTCCACAAAATCGACGGAAAACGAACAGCTATGAAAAATCAAAACAAACAATGACAGATGTCATAAATAAAACAGCGCATGCCAGAACTTGACAGATAGCACTTCTAATCACACTTATGCATGGTTGCACTTTAAAACTGTGCAGTCCATTTAAGGGAGAAGAGCGCAATATATTCGAAGCAAAATATTCATGATGCCTGTCAAATAATGAAAAATATGGTCAATGAAGGCTATTTGAAGTGATTCCTTTGACATTAGTCCACATTGGCATCGGTTTCTCCGGGTCTCCGGAATCCGGTTTCGTAAATCTTGGGATACTGTACGGTGGAACATAATTATATTGAAGAAAACCATATTATGCAACACTTCAAATCATAACTAAATGTAAATATAAGGCCATAGAAAACGGATCCAAATGTTTGAAATGACATATGACCACATGTGGTCCCGGAATTATGTACAATATGCTATTAGAATATTATAGGCAAACAAATTAGGTTTCATGCTAAATAGCAATCCAATCGAAAAGAAGGTCAACTGAATATATTAGATATCATTATTTTGGCATTTGGTCACTTTGGAACCGGTTCTGCGAATTCAAGAACCCGGTTCGCTTGAATATATAATTATATTCGAGTAAACCATATATCAAATCTTATCAAAATGAGCAGATGAGGTGAATTAAGTCAATTTTATATGTAGCTGTTGACATATAATCGTATTGAAATCGGATTCAGAAACTGATATGCCAGATTTACAGACATGTCTATGAATTTACAGACTTTTACATTTTTTCACAAACATTTTTTTTCGCTCCAGACTTTTACAGACTTTTTTAGTTTTTTTCACAGATATTTACAGACTTTTGTAATCAGGAGAAAATTTTAAAATTTATTTGATTACACTGTTTTACATCGTTAATCAAATTACGCGTTCGACGCATTTTGCAACACGCATTAGAAATTCACGTGTTTTCTAATCAACCACACAAACGAGCTGTCACTGTTATAGACGGTCATAGTTATAGACCTGTCAATGTGCTGCCATCTTGTGTACAAAACGAACATTTTTGATACGATTTGACGGTGGTGTGGTGGTAAGCGTGACTGCTTTCTCACCCCAATGAATTTGGGTTCAATCCCAGCCGAGGTCGGTGGGATTTTTGTGAGGCATAAAAATCTCTGGTCACGACTTCCTTCGGAGGGGAAGTAAAGTCGTTGGTCCCGGCCCATGTGTGTTGAATGGGTGTGATATCCTACGCAGGTGTGGAAGCTACCTTCCTGCACATTCGATTGCCGTCAATGGATGGCAATCGATGTCCATCGGTGATTGGCACTAGATTGTGGAGCAGAGACCGACGTTAAATAAGGGAATGAAGAAGAAAAAGACGGTTTGTTTGGATGCGTCAACTCAAAACACCCACATGCAGTTTTAGTGCTGAACGAAGCAGCCATTTGCGCCGTTTTGTACCTGAATAAGAGTCGTAAAAATGTGGAAAAAAAATCTACAAGGGACAGCCCTATGGGGTTGTACGTAATGGTGACGTAGGACTACGTAGTCTTATATAATAAATGTTATTTTTTAACTGCATCAGGAGCTTGTGTGTTGCGTAGGAATATGGATTTGAGCGGGGTTCTCTCTGTTTATACTCTTTAGTATGAGTCAGAAAAACTTAAAAACTCAAATCTCATGCATGAGTTTATGCGCCTATGAGCTTTGCCTGCCAAAATTCAACGTCGCAAAAATCACCGTTGAGTTTTCAGGTACAAAAATTCATTTCTCGGTGCTATTAATTGTTATTGCTCTTGTTTGTGCAGCAGGGGTTGGAAAACTAATACAACATGCATAAGCACGCTATCAATTGACGTTTGAGTGGTTTATATGAGTTTAAAGTTGGAATGATTTTTTGGCGTTGTGAGTGTGAGTGCGTGAATATGCAAGAGAATCTCAAGCATGAATTTTGCTTGCCACATCCGCATGCGAGTTTATTCTCGCAGGGAGACTCAATGAATAAGATTTGAAAGTGATTTTCCGAACACTGAGTATGACTATGATTGCCCTGAAAAGAACCTTTTGATATGGATTTTAGTTGGGACATGTTCAGAAATCTAACTCTTTTGATAAATATTGGTGGCCCTGAAAAGTGTCCACCCGGCTAAAGCTCTCCCCTTTTTTAATTTCAAACTCCTTCTTTCAACAAGTTGGTTAGTCTTAGCCTTTAACATAAAGACGCTTAACACTTTTTTCGGCGAATTTATGATCCTGTTTCACGTCATGGTTCTTCTCTATGCCTCAGATAAATTAGAACTTTTATACTGCGCTAAATCAAACGAGTAGAAATAAGAAGGGACGTCGGTTACGCGCTCGAATAATTGAAAATTCTAAAAATATTTAAGCGAATAGCTGGACAAATCTTTAGGATGATTAATTAATTGAATAATTGGACATTTAGGCATCCCTAGAAAATATTGTAGTTTCATGTTTTGTGGTGGTCCTTTGAGTAAGTAAATGTAACCCAAGCATCAAAAGCGGTGCGATGCTAGTTTTCATTGCTATGCTGACGGCTGAATTGAGGGGCTTAGAAGCAGAGGGAAGAAAGCCAATTATCTTAATCGATTTCCTCTTTTGATGAACATGGATTCACTAACCTATTTCGCACTATTTCTGCTATGCTCTTCTATCATCCAGAAGAACAAACGTATCAATAAATGTGAAGAGAATCGATCAAAATCACTTGCACTCCTGCTTCAAAGTTTGGCTACAAGATTACAACTCTGGAGAGCATTTTGTGTGGCCGTTGGAGGCATGTCGTTCTCAATATGGTGATGAGTGTGCAAAATGTTACGCAATTGCATTGCGAATGCTATTTCGACTTGTTTCGTCTAGAAACAATTCTCTGATGACTGTGTTGGGGAAGCAGCAAATGCATGTACGTAATTGGTGGATTTGTTAGCTATTTAATGCTTGTAATTTACCACTTTTTCAATAGTTTCTTGTTGAAAATAAACAGTCTGAAGCACGATTATCAATGCGTAGAAATATTTCTGGTCGATTGGTGATAAAATTATTGAAATTGAACCAGGGGCAGCTGAGTTATCAACGCTCAAAATCTTTCATAATTTCGTTTCATGTTCCATTTTCAGTTTTCACAAAGTGTACCCTCATATAGAAATCACAGACGTAGTCCTTCGTAAAAAAAAAACAAAGGGAACCCGAGAAGAAACCCCCTTAACGAACTTTTTCAAAGGACCAGGTAAGCTATAAGCTAAGTAAAATCAATATAAATACTTGCACTAATCATTATGTTGAGTCCATGTGATTTGAGGTATCGCACGATGGTATGATACCTCAAATCACCCGGGGTACCCGGTACATTTGAAAGAGGCCATTTTGATCATTGGGTCTGAATATGTCCACCATTGATCTTATAGTAAAATTCCAATCTTCGGAACCATAATTCCGATAGGGAAAAATATCAAATCGATCTATAGGAATCTGAAGAAACACATATTCTGGAACTTGTTGTTGTTGTTGTTGTTCTTCGCATTTCAATTTTATTTCTTATCGCATTTTAGCCTATTGCGTGCTCCTAACTTAGTGTTCTAGATGCTCTTCCGCAGTTGTTAGTTGAGAGCTTTAGATGCCTGTACCATTTTTGCATTAGTATAATTGTATTGCAAGTACAATCATACTCTATGCCCAGGGAAGTCGAGAAATTTTCCAACCCGAAAAATTTCTAGACCGAACCGGGAATCGAACCTGACTACCTACAGCATGGCCTTGCTTTGTAGCTGCGCCTCTACCGATAGAGCTAAGGGAGGGAGGTTGAACTTGTTCCACTCAAATTGGTCCAGCAATCACTGCGAAAATTGTGTGTACGAACTTACATACATACATACAAGGCGAAGGTCATCAACGCAATCATGCCGAACAATTTTGGTCCAAGCAGCAGCAAGAGGCGTCTTCTGACCAGTGTGTCCTCATCGATACTAAGGTACGGAGGTCCAGCCTGAATTGAAGCGCTGAAAACGAAGCAGAACCAAAGGAAATTGAGTAGTACGTTCCGGCTCATGGCCATGCGAGTCGTGAGTGCGTACAGAACCATTTCGATGGAGGCACTATGCGTTATCGCCGGTATGATCCCAATCGGCATCACCTTGGCAGAGGACTACAAGTGCTATATGACGAGAGAAACCAGAGGAGTACGAAAAATGGTGAGAACGGTATCGATGACTAGGTGGCAGCAAGAGTGGGATGCAGAGAACGGTAGAGAACGGTAGATGGACACACAGGCTAATACCGATTCTTTCGACCTGGGTGAACAGGAAGCATGGAGAAGTCAACTTCCACTTGACGTAGTTCCTGTCTGGTCATGGCTGCTTCAGGAAGTACCTGCATCGGTTCGGACACACAACGTCACCCTTCTGTCCGGAGTGTGGGTATGTGGAAGAATCACCAAAGCACGTGGTCTTCGAATGTCCTAGATTTGATGCTGTGTGAGAGGAGATGCTCGCCCTTAGCACGGAAAATGTCGTCGAAGAAATGTGTCGAGAGGAGGACACCTTTAACGCCGTCAGCAGAGCAGGAACGCAGATCATGTCAGCGCTGTAGCGAAAATGGCAAGAGGACCAGCTAGAAAGTAGTAATGTGCTCACACAAGTGCGAAGTGAAAGCCGAAGCCAAGAGAACTCTCCGTCAGAGTAGGCTGATTCCACCACCGGGTCAACCGAGTAGAACGCGACGTTGGGAGCTAAATGGCTCACAAATTGGAAAGACGATTAGCGAACTGGAAGCGCCAATTAGCTGAGGTAAAGTGAGGTGCGTAAAGCACGGCCCCCTCCGAAGTAATACGACAAGTGGTTCCGGGGGAAAAGGGCAAGGCGTCCAAGGAGGTTTTAGTGCGGTAAGAATCCCACACACCGTGTCACCGCGACTATGCACCCAGTCATCAAGCGGTTGCACGATGGCCTTTTGAAGGTTTCCTCCTAGAAAAAAAAACATACATACATACATACATACATACATACATACATACATACATACATACATACATACATAGAAACATACATACATACATA